TTAAACTTTTAGTATACAGAGCACTTACTTTGGCTCTGATACCACCTGTAACACCCCGCTTATCAGAGTAAATTTTTCGCAACTTTTATTTCGAAATTACTTATAACTCTTTCGAAATCTTTTTGCGAATAACTCGGGATGCTACTTAAACTCCTTCTTCCTAAAAATCTGTTTAACTTTAACTTTGTCTAATTATTTATTTTAGACATAACAAAACAGATTTATATATATACTTGCATTTAACTATATCATGTTCATATTTATGAAATGATAAAAACTTGAAATCTGAATTTATTTAAAATGCAAGTTCACATATTAATAAGCGTAGCGGAATTACTTAAAAACGTGAATAATTATACAGACTTATTTCATTTATTACAAATGTCCTTTGAAATGAGTACTCGACCATCACCACCACTTTATTTGCTCACACCTCCGGCCCGACCCTGTTACCTGAAAAACATAATGGGGGTGAGTACTGGTCCTTTTGTACCCCGTTAATACCCATACTAAAGTAAACATCAATAATAATACAATATCATGATCTTTGGTATATATATAATAACTGTAACTTAATCTGGCCGATATATTATCGGATACTTGTGCACAATCTGATGGATATTTCTAAGGCACGTATCGCCTCCATCAGAACTTAGGATATAATCTTCGAGACAAATTAATGCCTCCTCATCCCAAGCGTATAAACTTAAACTGTATACATACCTCGAACATGATAACAATATTATACTCAATGTAATACCCAGTCTGGGTCCCCACCTTTCTCCTTTGAAATCGTAAGTGTTGGTCTCGAGTAGCTAACTCTTCAAGCTACATAAAAATACGTAAACAAATATACTAAGTACTATGCTCGTATACTCGGATTTTCAACTCTTTCGGATAAATCATCCAAATCTTATAAAATCTCAATATTCTTGTTATGGTTCAAACTTTTCTTGATCTTTTACTCAATCAAATACTTACTCATATTATTTCTCCCAAATCTTATACATATGGCTTATACTCATTTTTCACTTGATTATCTCGAAAGTGAAAAATAACTCAAATCATACTAAACTTTTCATCATAATATTAATATGTGAGATTTACAACAATCTTTATAAAATTGTATACTCAACATATTAAACTAAAACTTGATCAAATTGCTCATTACTCATATAAAAATTTTTTTTCTAAAAATTCCATTTTAAAACTCAACCATGTACTAAATACTCTTGCATATAAAATCATCTTGACATGTATGCCATATAAATATTTTAACTCGTTCATTTCTCAACATAAAATCATGAAATTTGGCAGTCATGTTCTTAACCCATATATAAGCATGTCGTAAAAATTTCATAATTTTATCATGCGTATATATCGAGTTATTAAAATTTTAAAGTCACAGCTGAAATAAAGAACATAAAATTCAACTTGCATGCTTAACTTCAAAAATTTATAACTCAAGCTATACTATGCCAAATGACATAATTCTTTCACCTATATACTCAGCACTTACACAAGAAATATCCATAATAAGCTTAACATATCAGGTTATGCATATCATGCTCAAATTCAAATCAAAATAGTACATATATATAACATGTGATTGTGCTGGAAACAACTTATTTTTTTTTTTTCATGCTTAAAATTTCTTTAAAAATTGAATATATATTTATGGCATGAAAATACATCAATATTCACTTACTATGACATATGATAAAAAGGTAGCATCTAACCTTCTTCAAGAAATTTGAAAATGGAACTTCGGAAGTTGATCTCAACTTATCTTCGTCAAGATTTCTCTCGATTTTTCTTCCTCACTTTATAGCTAAGACTTTGCTTATTTTTGTGTGAATTTCGAGTCTATGGTGATACCCCTTTATATAGGGTAGCAAAGGAGACAATATCACCTTCTTCACATCAATACTTCATCATAATAAACTCATTAGGGCCCTTGCCATTAATGCTTTTCTAAATCATGCACAAAGTTGAGTAAGCTTTGAAAAGTACTTGTAATGCATGATTCATCTTGTATATATCAAGACAAACTCTTCCATTTGACCAATCCTCCATTATGGGTCGAATTTTGATCCTAAATGGCTCATTTATTGCTTAAAAATATAAAAAAAATGGTTATAAAAATAAATAAAGATAAAGAATAAAAATCATAACTTGTAAACTTCTCAAATCTATAGTCAATGCTTAGAAAGGGCCATCTTGTGATCCTAATCTAGTTTCCATGATAAAATTCGTGACTTAATGAAAAATCTCCAATTTACAGAACCGAATTCTGACTTAAAACGAACGGTTACCGAAAAATCGAAAATTCTGAAAATTTCAGATTTCCATCTTTTGCTTTTGGCCTTTTTCCTTTTTATGCTGAAAATTTTTAACTCTTATTAATGATCTTGAAACTTGTAAAAAGATACAAGAAAATAAATTTTTCGGAAACGAAATCGAATTTAATTATCGTCTACAACCGAACATCGAAAAACTCGAAACTTGCGAATATAATTTCGAATATATTCTTAATAATATAAATAGACCTTCTTGTCTAAATAACTTCTACTTAATCCTTATAACTTATCAAATCATATAAGTCACATAAAATACTTTGGCAATTTATAACATTTACTCGACTAACTCAATTTAATGAAAAACGATTCTGATTTAACTTTAATGTCGAGCCAACTGAAAAATAAAATTCTAAGAGATTTATTAAGGCTTGGAAATATAAAAGATCATTATTAATAAAAGTAAAATAGTTCTAACTTAGAACTGAAATAATTACTTTTATGAATTACTGAATGGGATATTACATATTGTATATATAAATCATATAAAAATGATCTGGCAGTTCTCTAATATTATTAACCTTATATAAATCATATAAAAATGATCTGGCAGTTCTCTAATATTATTAACCTTATAGTTTTACATAAGATAAGCAACATATAAACAATACTAAAACGGGATTAAACATAATACACAATTCTGAATGACTGCAAAATCGAAATCGAATGTAGTTATAGATAAGATAAACGACATATAAACAATTCTGAAATGGGATAAACATAATATACCTTGACATGCAGAAAACATAATCAATCATTTTAATCTTATATATGTTAGCAATATCAACTTTCTTCTTGCGAGTTACTAATTCTTTCCTTCAATGCTCCCTGAGGAGGACTTTGTTCTTCATCGTCAAGGTTGATATAAAATCACCGTTCCCCTTCAATTTTTGTTCGGGTAATTTATCAGTCCCTTTAGAAGAGTCCGCCGTCTCAATCTCCTGTGGCCGCCGCACTTCCTACTCTGCATCTCTTCACCGCCGCTAACAATGGTGGCTTCCGGCAAGAAAACGGTACGTATCTCTATTCTTACATCTTATATTTGTATATATACATATGATTGTGATTCATGACTCTGAAGTTCTATGCCTAATTTCAACCGATTTATAGAAAAGTGAATATATTACAAGACTGTGCTCAAGGCCCTTAGGAGCTCGAAAAGTCTGATTTTTATTATTAATCAAGTGGAGGTTTGAATTTATAGAATAAATGGGAGCTAAATGGGGAGAGCAATAATATTTCTCCAGTGGGATGTTTTATTATTTAGGTCTATTTAGGAATTAGGAATTAATTATAAGAAACTCTTATTCTTGCTTTTGTTCGTTTGGAGTTTCGAGTTCAAATTTTGCAACCTCGTGATTTCATTAAGACAATTATTTCCAGTTTCTGCTTGTCTTATATTATTTTTCAGTTGTGAAGTTTTGGTGTGCGTTTTCTTTATAAGTACCCAAATCGAGGATTTGGGACTTAGTTTATCAGCCGAGAGAAATCATTAGGTCTCAAAGGTCGCTTTGAGACCTGTCCATCTATAGAAGATCAAAGAGTTACATGTGTTAGGACTTTTTCCGAACTGGTGCGCCCACTAAGAGTTGGTTGTTATGTCGTTTGGACTGAGTAATGCCCCGCCGTTCTCATCGTCTTCATCGAAGACATCCTGATCTATTTGCGAAGCAACGTGAGTAGCATTTACATATAGTCTTGAAGACACATCGACTAGAGCGGCTGTATGCCAAATTCTCGAAGTGTGAGATCTGGTTGGACTGAGTTTCCTTTTTCAGACACAGCGTCACTGCTAATGGAATAAAGTTTAATCCAAACGAGTTTAAAACGATAAGTAGCTGGGAGGTTCGGAGGAATGCAAGAGAGATTCGCAGTTTATTGAGACTAGCTGGATATTACCGTCGCTGTATTGGGAGCATCTCGTATATAGCCCAACTATTGAACAAGCTGGCATATAAGTTAGCTAGATTATATTGAGTCCTCAGTGTGAAGCGTGCTTTCGGGATTTGAAGTCGAGGCTCACTACCGCACGATGTTGAGTTAGAAACTATGATTCACGCGTTAGAGATATGAAGGCATTACCTCTACGGATGTAGGTGCGATATTTTCACGGACCACAAAAGCTAGAAGTACCTATTCACTCAAAAAGAGTTGAGTATGAGGTAGAGAAGTGATGGGTATCGAATCCAACAATATTAAAATCCTGCTTCTAAAATAACTGTAGTAGTGGTAAGCAGTGTCGTATCTACTGGGATTGGCTAGACAGAGTATTGATGCAATTATCCGTGAAAGAAATAAAAATAAAAAGGGTTAATAACTTTTTCCCATCTGAACTATCACACGATTTTGGAGCATCACCATAAAAACTATTTTTTTACAAACCACCATATGAACTATACGAGTTTGTCAAAATGCCCCCTAAACCGGATATAAAAATGGTTTTGACTGAAAAGAACTGATTTTTAATGGCATCTTAGTAATTTCACACACTTTTCAAAAAATTAAAAAAAAAAAATGAGAAATGAATGAAAAAAAAATATAAAAAATGGCGGGGCTAAATTCATCCTTGCTATTACAAAATTGGAATTCAATCAATCAACCGCCAACGAGTGATGGGTGGCTTTATCCTCTCTCTCATCGTCGATGGCAGCGGTGCCATATAGTGCCTACCCTGTGTGGTCGAGGAGATAAGAAGACCAATAAAGAAACGGAAGAGATTCAAAGGTTCGTATGGGAATTGCTGGCCCAAAAAGGAACAGAAAATCGAGAGGACAAAGGATAAGGTCGAGGTGCCCAGGTCGACTCCATGGCAGCTCCCTTTCAAGCTCATTTGAGCCTTTTTTTTCTCACATGATTTTATGATGTTCTTGGAGCTGTGTCTACATCTTGCTAGCAGTGATGCATTTTGTACCAACTGTTTGAGACTTAATGCTTAAAATCGTGATAGTACCAACAGACTTAATGCATTTTGTTCAATAAATAGACTTTTTTTGGTGTAATTATGTTGAAGAAAAAACGCACGAGCTGAGTTTCTAAGCTTGAGAACCAGATTTCTCATCTCGAGAATGACCTCAAGCTCTTGAAGGATCAACTTCGCTCGACCTAGGAACTAAAGGAGCAAGCTGAGAAAGACTCCGAGCAATACAAACAACAGCTATCAGCACTCCAGGAACAATTCTCCGAGCCCAAACCCGAGACCCATCAAGAAAACCAGGAAAACAAGCTCAGCAAGCTGAAACAGAACCTTTCTGAAACACACGCCCTCGTCGAGGACATGAAGGCCCAGCTCACTGACAGCAAGGATTCCGAAACTCGAACCCACTCGGTCGCCCAAGAAACGCTAACCCAGCTCGAGGCCACGAAAAAGACGGTGGACACAGCTCCGAGCCATCGAAGCCCATGACGCATTGGCTCATTGAGGACATGGCGATGAATTCTGTGAATGCGGGGGTGATTTCGTCAAGGGTGAAAATGATGTGGTCAAAGTCGCCGGAGATTAGGGTTTGGATGTGGCTGTTGGTGCCAACTGAACGCTGTTTTCTTTCTTTTTTTTTAATCTAACTTAGAAAATATAATAAAATAAAATCTAACTAGAGACGAAAAGAAAACAAGTGATTCAAAATAGAGAAAATATCTAACCAAAGGAAAAGATTATAGAAATGGTTCAACGATTCGATCACGGATGCAAAGATAATTCTCTTACTCTTGATTAAACTGATTATGGTTATCGGTATGACCTAACAACCTATCCTTCCTTACTTGTTCGATAATCAGGATACGATCTCTAATTATTTTTCTAATCAACAGACAACCCTAGATATGATCATAGGATTTAATCTATCAAAAACAATAAGAGCTAGAAAGAAGACCATTTCTAGCCAACAAACGCACATGTTGGATAATTTAGATAAGATCATATATCTCCCAAAGCATATAATTGAAAACCCTTAGTAGTCAACTATGCTATTTGCCACAAATATTAGAGCAGTCAAACAATTACAGATTTAACGTTCTAAATAACGATATGCGTTTTAGTAATCGAACAAATGGCTACTTTGCATCAATCAATCAAAACAAAATTGATAAAATCACAAGAAATATATGAATAAAAGAGAATAAGGAATATAAAATTCAATTAGATCTCACAATTCATGAAGAACCAAATCTAGAATAATCCTTTGACTGGAAAAATCAATTAATTCTCCATAAACATAGAAGAAGTCTCCCAATTATTCAGGAAAAATAAAAGAGAAAAATAAAAGAAAAGAAAAGAGATGAAGAGAGGATGGCGTGCGTCTTCAAGAAGATCTCCCCGATCAGATAAAAATAAAAACGTCGTACTGAATAGAGAAGAGGAAGAAAGAGGTGAGAGAAAAGTAATACCTAGCAGTTGACTTAATTCTCAGTCTAATCCTAATCCTAAAACAAAAACGTAGAAAATAATCTTCTCTCTCCAAAAGTATCCTAATAAATTAAAATAGTCTATAAATAAATAAAAAACTCTATATATTCTATTATTTCTCTTTCCAACTCAAGACTCCTTCCTTCTTCTAACTCTCGTAGGAAATTAGTGTGCCCACGCCTTAACACAAATTCTTCTCTTTTGCCCTCCAATCATAATAAAATTCTAAATTTCGAGATATCCTACAAAAAATATAAAAATCAATTAAAATCAATAAACAAGCTCATACAAACACCAAAAAAGTATGGAAAACATGACAATTAATATGCCAATAATACGACTTATCAAATCACCCCACACTTAAATGATGCTTATCCTCAAGCATCAAGTCAAATCATCATCCCATCTCATAATCATCTCTATCATTTCTTACCAACCTAAAACTATTTTGCACACATCAGAAACATAGCTCAAGAAAGGATCCTTATTAACCAACATCAATGAATAATCACCCCCAACAATCAAATAACTTAAAAGACATGAGATTCGACAACTTCTCACGAGATGCACTCATTACTAATGTGTATAGGCTAAATATAAAGTGTACGCTCAAGTCAAGAGAATGAAGACTTTTACCATAAGCTTGCAAATATATCACGCTCGTCCACCCAAGAATCAATATGAATACACAAAATCGAACGGTTTAAATGGGTTGTAATGGGGCTTAGGTAAGGTGGATAAAAGGATATATTAGGCTATGGGAATCAAAACAATCATACAAACACTTCATAAGTGGAGCTCAATCCAAAATAAATTAGGTTGACTATCTAACTTCACAAAATGAATCTAACGTAAAGAATAAAATAGCACAATTCTCTTCATTGTCATTCTCTCAATTGTTTTTTTCTTTTTTTATGAGTTTTTCATTTTTTTTTCCTTTTCTTTTGCCATTTTTCTTTTTCTTTTTTTATTTTTTTAAGAGAAGACAAGAACTAATAGACGTTAGATAACTAGACCTAAAAAAAAACCACAGTCAAGTCTACGCACGTAAGCTCATTGTAAGTACAAAGAATTCATATAATTGCTTCAATTCAAGGTTCAAAAGAGGGTATCGACAAAAAGGATATCATGGCTTGTAACGTGGCTAAATCCAAAGAAAAAGGATAAGACTCAAACTTGGCTCACTAGGGGTCTATGTAAAGGGTAGGCTTCCAAGAAAAGGCTAAACAAATGGCTAATCCTAATACACTTATTAAGATATCGTGCACTAAATTCATCCAAGTAGTAAACAAAGACGTGCATATCAAAGCAAGTTATGGAAAATCCAACAAATCAGGACAACACACAATCAAGAAAATGGAGCATGATATTCAATGTATGCTCATAGGCTCAATTCTCACAAAAAAAACAAGGTAATATGTGTCGAATCATATGCATTCGTCACTCAATTAATCATAAAAAATAATCAATCACCAAGTAGCAACAAGGACTCCAAATTATTTTTGCATGCAAATAAAATCGATTTTCACGGATTGGCACCAAACAAATCGAGAATAATCACAAGAGACACAATAAACGAGACTCAACACCTAAGGTAATAAACCATCTCGGAATAAAGATAGTTATTTACACATACGCAAAACCAAAACATTGCAAATGACACCCCACTCCACACTTAAAACTAGACATTGTCCTCAATGGCACCAACTTAATGCTCAAGCAAAATATAGAAAATAAATTCAAGAGAAGTAGAAAACTACCCTGATCGCTCTGTAGCCGTGGAGAATTGGACTCAGAGAAGGCTTGAGCTCATTGTCTTCACTACTCGTACTCTTGGCTCGACTCATATAAAGTCATCATCCACCACAAATGGAAGCACGAGAGTACAAAATTATCCTTGACTTTTGGGCTCAAAAGAGATGGTTCTCGAAATTGAATACCTTGTTGTACCCAGTACCATCAAGGTGACTGCATTCAGCTTTTGGTCGCTCAATGTATGAAAATCTCGACTGAATAGGGATCTTTCAATGTATGTTGTTCTCGATTTCAGCCACTATTCAGGTTGCTGGGCGCGGTGGGATCTTGATGCGTGCATTTCAAAAAGTGCAGCAGTTTGAACAACAGGACTCGATGAATAATAAAAATTAGAATTACCGAACGGTCAGAGGTCCATGTCCGTGTGTGCCATAACATGTTTCCAGATGACGGTTGACAGTAATCGAACGCAGACGATAATCGAATGAACAACTCTCGGAAGGGCTGAGAACCGAATTGAACAACTCTCGGAGGTTTGTTAATAAGGCCGAAACGAGCGGCCGATGGAAGTTCGTGATTTCATTGCCAATCTTGTCTGGACCTCGCTGATATAGTTGTGTGGGCAAAAAGTTTCAAATATGGTCGGCAATGGCTCGCTTGGAGAGAAGGCAGATTGTTACACTGGAAAAGGATCAGCGTGGCGGATGGAGAAAAGTAGAGGACTGTCCGTCTCGCCGGTTGCTGCTATCTGACGGCACTCCTCACGGCTGGTAGACGATGGTCGTCGGGAAAAGGAGGTTCGCACGCGGTGATCGGGAACATGAGGGTCGCGCGCGAGGTATGGCGGTTTCGCGACGTTTGCTCCGAGGACGATAGCAGTGGTTCTCTGATTTTTGTTATCTGCCGGCGGTCACGAACGGAGAAGAGAGTTGGCGTGGACGGGAATTGCAATTTCAGTGTCTGAAAGCGAGAAGTTAGGGCTGGAGAAACGAAAGAGAAGAGACCATAACCAATTTTTTATTTTTCTGATTTTTTCAATTTTCTGATTTTTTTATATTTAAATGAGAAT